CTCTCTTGCAGATAGGACAATGAAAGAAGGAACGGTTATATGAACTAAACCACTGCGCTGCCTTGTAGCAAAAGCAATAGACGTTGTTTAGTAAGGCATTCTTAGTCGACACTTCAACAGTGGATCTCATTTAAACAAAAGGCAGTCACCTATATATCGTTGTACCCTAAATCACCATATATCTGTGTTTTGTGGTGATAAAGGGACTTAACATATGTACTTGAATTTGATCATTAGTGAGTGGTTTGGAGGACATATTGGATTCACCGTTTTCAGACTTTTTTCTGGTCTTGTCTCCCAAACCAAACACCTCAGGACCAACAGATAGAAATACTTGCACACATTCAGAAATGTGTGTTCATATATAATATATCACACTTTTTCACCCATTTGGGAGTTGCCTCAATATTCGATCGTATTTCTGATCAATGTTTTCTGATACATTTCACTGTAAACATCACATATACTTTTTGTCCAAGAAAATGTTAAATATCTGTCGCATTTGTGCGTGCGTGGGTGTGAGGCCATTTGAGAGTAAATGCGCTTTGGAGCCAAACATGGAGGTATCACTTAACACTCTGTCGTTGTTTGTAGCAGCATTTCTTGATTGGCAGGTCCAGGCCTTGCATTCGTGGCGTACCCAGGAGGCCTGGCTCAACTTCCCCTGCCTCAACTCTGGTCCTTCCTGTTCTTCCTGATGCTGCTGACAGTTGGATTGGACAGTCAGGTAAGGGATCAGTCATTCACAGGTTTACCAGCAATACAGGAATAGACGTTCGGTACAAACAGATTCGATACAGTGAGTGTTTACACAGCGTGGGGAGCTGCAAGTTCAAATGTTACTTACAACGTCAATACTGAGTCTCATCCGGGATTCGAACCCGCACTCGCAGGACGGGGAGTATGTATCAAACGAATATCAAACTTGTGGCGTTATTACATTATACGACGTTATATGTATCCTGAAGCCACACAACAAGGTTACACACCCAGTCGTAAAGTCTGTTCGCAGGCATCAGGTGTAATCACTGATCTTCAACGATTCATCCCTGTAGTGTTAACCACAATGCTCAAATACCCAATGGAATCTGTGGATTTCTGAGGGTAATCCAGACTGATTATTCTCTAAAGTTGACGTTAAAGTAACTTAAGAATTAAAGTAGATATGTTGTTAAAGATATCTCGATACATGACAGTCCCATTGCTCAGTGAGTACAAAACCATCCAGGAGACATCCGCGTTAAGTGTCGTTGTACATGTTGCAGTTTGCGTGGATGGAGACGGTGATAACCAACGTGATTGACCAGTTCCCAGCAGTGCTACGGAAGCGGCGGATTCTGGTCACAGCAGTGGCCTGTACAGCCAGCTTTCTGCTTGGTCTGCCCTTCGTCACAAATGTGAACATAATTTGTCTTTCACATCGTTTTTGTTTGTGGTGAAAATGTACGTATGGAAGAGGAAATAGCAATGCGAAGATAAACAAATATTCATGAAATTCCCTTGACTTAAACTTACCTAACGCCAAGGAAAACCTGATGTATTATGCATTTGTTTCGGAATATCGTTCAATAGATCATGAACTATGTCCAATATGAATCGCTTGTGTTTCCGAGACCATGCTACAAAACAAACGAAATGTATTTGATGAAGCCTTTGATAGTCTTACATTCAGTAGCTGTTGTTTCAAACAGAGCGGTTCCATCACACAGGTAATTTACCTTTGCAGGGAGGGATTTTTTATTTCCAACTCGCTGACTGGTACATGGGTGTCTTGTGTGCAATTCTGTTTGGCATTTTGGAGTGCATAGCTTTCAGCTGGATTTACGGTAAGTGTCCATCATATGTTTCTCTTGTGTATAATGATGTGATGTATATTCATTTATGGACACTCTACATTCTGGCCAACTCTGAGTAATTAGTCGTTCCATGTGCTCTCCATAATCAGCTGGGAACCATATGGTTTCGTGGTACAAGTGTTTTGTTCCTGATAGACAATCTACGGACATATACAATGACTTTGACATGCACATATATACACATATGAATCTATTCCTTTATCAGGTTCAAGGAGATTTAGTGAGGACGTGGAGCTAATGCTGGGCAGGAGAGTCCCTATGTTCTTCAGCATCATGCTTGGCTACATCACGCCTGGCTTTCTTACCGTAAGGAAAACTATTCTTCTTGCTTCATAAATTCTTTAGGAGCTTTCAAAGATTACCAATTCTGTCTGCAGTTCAGAAAAGGTGGCTGATGCAACATGTTTGTTAATGCATTAATGATTATGGCCGTCTTAACCGTCCTGATATCATTGCAGATCGCCTTGTTCCTGGTTCTGTGGCGGTTCCAACCCCCGACCTATGGTGACTATCAGTACCCCTGGGTGTGTCAGGTAGCTGGGTGGATCTTAGCCTCCATGTCCGTCATCCCTGTACCTGTCATGGCGGCTGTCACCTTGCTCAAGGCCAAAGGATCGTTCATGGATGTAGGTGACATCGTTGTGCATGAGTAATCTGTTATGTATAGGTAAACAATTACCTGAACTTAGCTCTTATGAATCTGTTGTTCAGGTTACTAGAAACGCTCTCGGGGTTTTACTTTGAGTGAGTGAGTGAATGAGTGAGTGAGTGAGTGAGTTAGTTTTACGCCGCTTTTACAATATTCAAGCAATATAACGGCAGGGGACACCACCGGAAATGGACTTCACACATTGTACCCATGGGAAATCTAACCCGGGACTTCTGCGTAACGACTACTAACCACTTCTGCTTTAACCACTAGTAACACCTTCTGCGTAACGAGTGCTAACCACTTCTGCTTTGACCACTGGTAACCACTACCACACCGACCCTGTTACATTGAGTACCCGTGAAGGTCCGGGTTAGAATATTGATCTTCAGTAACCCATGTTTGTCGAAAGAGGCGACTAACGGCATCGGGTGGTCAGACTCGCTGACTTGGTTGACACATGTCATCGGTTCCCAATTGCGCAGATCGCTGCTCATGCTGTTGATCACTGGATTGTCTGGTCCAGACTCGATTATTTACAGACCGCCGCCATATAGCTGGAATATTGCTGAGTGCAGAGTAAAACTAAACTCAATCTCTCACTGTTACATTGAGAGACAAACAGGCGTTGAAGACCTATTGTTTTCACTACATCGTCGAAAATCAATTAGACGACAGGTGAAAATTACCCACAGTGACAAGTGTGACAAGTGACAAGTTTGTTTTGGCATTTGAGGCCTCAGGGCCCATAGTGCTAAGATACAAAAATCATAGAGTGCGCAAGATATATTGATATACATTGCAAGACTACTTAACATGATACATTTCTTTCGAGAAACAGTGATTTCTTTTTTATAAGTACAGAATATGTTGCTGACATTATGGATACAATTTATCATGGGATTGATTGTCTTATAGTGAGGACATAACGGAAGGCAATGCAATTCATCTTCAACAGATCCTGCATTACACTTCGAGCATAGCAGTTGGTTATGATATTTCAAACGTTTAAAACGTAGCAACTGAACATTTAATTCATGCGATGCACAACGAAACGTATAGTGCACACTTAAGAGATCCTCTGACTGAAGCAGCTTTAATACATACTTCTTACAAATCATACAGTGCCCAAGATATATTGATACATAATGCAATAATTACTCATAGTCATTTATTGGTGAGTTTATTTGATATGGCAGTGGTACACAATGTCTCACTCTCTCAGTGTTTGTTGTCAATATTGTAGCATTACCTGATGAGTAGTGATGTAGGATTTGCTATATGTTAATGCTTTGTAGTCAGGACTAAACCAGCAAAGCATGGGGATGTCTGAAAGGGTTTTAGGAGTATGTAACGTATTAAGTGATTGCCTCTAGCAACTTACATTACATGTATTTTCACCCTGGATTTCCGGGGCAGGACTCTTTGGTTTACTTGTGTCAGTTAGGGTTATGGGTTTTACGAAATGGTGACCAGCCAATCGGCAGAGACGGGAAACTGGTCACATTACCGGGTATTATAGTGACGGTTTTTTTCCACCAGAGAATCATGAATAATATCAATCAATGTCTTCCAGAGACTGGCAGCGAGTTGCAGGCCTAACGACTCATGGGGACCGTCACTGAAGAAACACAGAAACCTGTACAGGAATCAACAGGAAACAACGAAATTTGTCTGAATACTTGCAGGCCCCGGATTTCTTCTGATTATTTAGATGTGGTCACACTGTGCTCTGTGCTCTGTACTCTGTGCTCTGGAAACATCCTGAACCTTCTTAATTAACTAGATGACAACTTCTTTCATTATAGTTGGAGATGCATTCCCCTGCACAATGCTCAGGGTTTGTTTGTTACCTTCAAACACAAAGTTTTAGGCTTACAGTAAATAATGATAGGTACAATAAACGGCAAAAGGAATAGGTAAAACAGGCCCCAGTAAAACAGGCCTCTTGGTATATTCCATTTCAAGAACGACAAAAAGATCATTTTGCTAAAGCAGGCTTTAGTATTAGTCGTTAATACATGTGTGGGGGTGTGAGTGGAAATAATGACCACCCAGCCCACGATATATCCTGGCAACAAGCTATAACTGGGATATGTAGGTAACATACACACAAAATACTGTTAAAATACCTGCCAGAGGTGCAGTGCATATTATAATATACTGTGGATATAGGGAACATATGGCACTTGTTTCAACTGACGGTGACATTCTGTGGTTGATGCAGATGGAACAACTAACCAAATGAAAATGACTAAAATGGCGTATACAATAGCTATCTTACCTAGCACCTGTCTAGAGGGCCCCGAGACACAAACAGCCATCTTACCTAGCACCTGTCTAGAGGGTCCCGAGACACAAATAGCCATCTTACCTAGCACCTGTCTATAGGGTCCCGAGACACACACAGGCATCTTACCTAGCATCTGTCTACAGGGTCCAATGACACACACAAACAGCCATCTTACCTATCACCTGTCTACATGGTCCCGAAACACAAACATCCATCTTACCTAGCACCTGTCTTCATGGTCCAATGACACACACAGACAGCCATCTTACATAGCACCTGTCTTCATGGTCCAATGACACACACAGACAGCCATCTTACCTAGTACCTGTCTTCATGGTCCAATGACACACACAGACAGCCATCTTACCTAGCACATGTCTACAGGGTCCAATGACACACACAAACAGAAATCTTACCTTGTAAATGTCTTCATGTTCCAATGACACACAGAAACAGCCATCTCACCTAGCACCTATCTACAGGGTCCAGTGACACACACAAACAGCCATCTTAAGTAGCACCTGTCTACAGGGTCCCGAGGCACAAACAGCCATCTTACCTAGCAATTGTCTACATGGTCAAATGACACCAACAGACAGCCATCTTACCTATCACCTGTCTACAGGGTCCCGAGGCACAAACAGCCACCTTACCTAGCACCTGTCTACATGGTCCCACGATACACACAAACAGCCATCTTACCTAGCACCTGTCTACAAGGCCAGTGACACACACGCGGCCATCTTACCTAGCACCTGTAAACAGGGTCCCAGGACACACACGCAGCCATCTTACCTAGCACCTGTCTACAGGTCCAGTGACACACACGCAGCCATCTTACCTAGCACCTGTCTACAGGCCCAGTGACACACACGCAGCCATCTTACCTATCACCTGTCTACAGGGTCCCGAGACACAAACAGCCATCTTACCTAGTACATGTCTACAGGGTCCCGAGACACAAACAGCCATCTTACCTAGTACATGTCTACAGGGTCCCGAGGCATAGACAGCCATCTTACCTATCACCTGTCTACAGGGTCCCGAGACACAAACAGCCATCTTACTTAGCAACTGTCTACAGGGTCCTGAGACACACAAACAGAACAGGGTCCTGGACAGCCATCTTACCTAGTACCTGTCTACAGGGTCCCACGATACACACAAACAGCATGTTACAGCTATCTTACCCAATACACACACAGAAACAGCTATGTTACCTAGTACCTGTCTTCATAGTCCAATGACACACACAGACAGCCATCTTACCTAGTACTTGTCTTCACGGTCCAATGACACACACAGACAGCCATCGCACCTAGCACCTGTCTACATGGTCCCACGATACACACGCAGCCTTCTTACCTAGCACCTGTCTACATGGTCCCGAGACACAAACATCCATCTGACCTAGTACCTGTCTACAGGTCCAATGACACACACAGACAGCCATCTTACCTAGCACCTGCCTACATGGTCCAATGACACACACAGACAGCCATCTTACCTAGCACCTGTCTACAGGGTCCAATGACACACACAAACAGCCATCTTACCTAGCACCTGTCTACAGGGTCCCGAGACACAAACATCCATCTGACCTAGTACCTGTCTACAGGGTCCAATGACACACACAAACAGCCATCGTACCTAGTACCTGTATTCAGGGTCCAATGACACACAGACAGCCATCTTACCTAGCACCTGTCTACATGGTCCAATGACGCACACAGACAGCCATCTTACCTAGCACCTGTCTACATGGTCCCACGATACACACAAACATCCATCTTACCTAGCACCTGTCTTCATGGTCCCACGATACACACAAACATCCATCTTACCTAGCACCTGTCTACATGGTCCCACGATACACACAAACATCCATCTTACCTAGCACCTGTCTTCATGGTCCCACGATACCCACAAACATCCATCTTACCTAGCACCTGTCTTCATGGTCCCACGATACCCACAAACATCCATCTTACCTAGCACCTGTCTTCATGGTCCCACGATACACACAAACATCCATCTTACCTAGCATCTGTCTACATGGTCCCACGATACACACAAACAGCCATCGTACCTAGCACCTGTCTTCATGGTCCAATGACACACACAGACAGCCATCTTACCTAGCACCTGTCTACATGGTCCAATGACGCACACAGACAGCCATCTTACCTAGCACCTGTCTACATGGTCCCACGATACACACAAACATCCATCTTACCTAGCACCTGTCTTCATGGTCCAATGACACACACAGACAGCCATCTTACCTAGCACCTGCCTACATGGTCCAATGACACACACAGACAGCCATCTTACCTAGCACCTGTCTACATGGTCCAATGACACAAACATCCATCTGACCTAGTACCTGTCTACAGGGTCCAATGACACACACAGACAGCCATCTTACCTAGCACCTGCCTACATGGTCCAATGACACACACAGACAGACATCTTACCTAGCACCTGTCTACAGGGTCCAATGACACACACAAACAGCCATCTTACCTAGCACCTGTCTACAGGGGTCCAATGACGACAGACACAAACATCCATCTGACCTAGTACCTGTCTACAGGGTCCAATGACACACACAAACAGCCATCTTACCTAGCACCTGTCTACAGGGTCCCGAGACACAAACATCCATCTGACCTAGTACCTGTATTCAGGGTCCAATGACACACAGACAGCCATCTTACCTAGCACCTGTCTACATGGTCCAATGACGCACACAGACAGCCATCTTACCTAGCACCTGGCTACATGGTCCCACGATACACACAAACATCCATCTTACCTAGCACCTGTCTTCATGGTCCCACGATACACACAAACATCCATCTTACCTAGCACCTGTCTACATGGTCCCACGATACACACAAACATCCATCTTACCTAGCACCTGTCTTCATGGTCCCACGATACCCACAAACATCCATCTTACCTAGCACCTGTCTTCATGGTCCCGATGACACACACAAACAGCCATCGTACCTAACACCTGTCTTCATGGTCCAATGACACACACAGACAGCCATCTTACCTAGCACCTGTCTACATGGTCCCACGATACACACAAACATCCATCTTACCTAGCACCTGTCTTCATGGTCCCACGATACACACAAACATCCATCTTACCTAGCACCTGTCTTCATGGTCCCACGATACACACAAACAGCCATCGTACCTAGCACCTGTCTTCATGGTCCAATGACACACACAGACAGCCATCTTACCTAGCACCTGTCTACATGGTCCAATGACGCACACAGACAGCCATCTTACCTAGCACCTGTCTACATGGTCCCACGATACACACAAACATCCATCTTACCTAGCACCTGTCTTCATGGTCCAATGACACACACAGACAGCCATCTTACCTAGTACCTGTCTTCATGGTCCAATGACACACACAGACAGCCATCTTACCTAGCACCTGCCTACATGGTCCAATGACACACACAGACAGCCATCTTACCTAGCACCTGTCTACAGGGTCCAATGACACACACAAACAGCCATCTTACCTAGCACCTGTCTACAGGGTCCCGAGACACAAACATCCATCTGACCTAGTACCTGTCTACAGGGTCCAATGACACACACAAACAGCCATCGTACCTAGTACCTGTATTCAGGGTCCAATGACACACAGACAGCCATCTTACCTAGTACCTGTCTACATGGTCCAATGACGCACACAGACAGCCATCTTACCTAGCACCTGTCTACATGGTCCCACGATACACACAAACATCCATCTTACCTAGCACCTGTCTTCATGGTCCAATGACACACACAGACAGCCATCTTACCTAGCACCTGTCTTCATGGTCCAATGACACACACAGACAGCCATCGTACCTAGCACCTGTCTACAAGGTACCGAGACACAAACATCCATCTGACCTAGTACCTCTCTACAGGGTCCAATGACACACACAAACAGCCATCTTACCTAGTACCTGTCTTCATGGTCCAATGACACACACAGACAGCCATCGTACCTAGCACCTGTCTACAAGGTACCGAGACACAAACATCCATCTGACCTAGTACCTCTCTACAGGGTCCAATGACACACACAAACAGCCATCTTACCTAGCACCTGTCTACATGGTCCCACGATACACACGCAGCCTTTTTATATAGCACCTGTCTACAAGGCCAGTGACACACACGCGGCCATCTTACCTAGCACCTGTAAACAGGGTCCCAGGACACACACGCAGCCATCTTATCTAGCACCTGTCTACAGGCCCAGTGACACACACGCAGCCATCTTACCTAGCACCTGTCTACAGGCCCAGTGACACACACGCAGCCATCTTACCTAGCACCATCTGTCTACAGGCCCAGTGACACACACGCAGCCATCTTACCTAGCACCTGTCTACAGGCCCAGTGACACACACGCAGCCATCTTACCTAGCACCTGTTTACAGGGTCCCACGACACTCACAAACAGTCATCATATCTAGCATACATGGTACTGAGCCACATGTTATAGTAAAGGCAGTTGTACTGACCATGTCAGGCCGTCGTAAAAATATATGGCTGTGTCAACATGATTAGAAAGTATCATCATAGAATAATATGTTTTACATTATTATACTAATTAAACCTTTCTCCAGGTGTATGCCTTATCATGACGTCAGATACAAACATCTTATAGACAGGAAACACTGTGCCTTAAGATGACTCTTTGGCAATATCAAAAATCTTTGACTGCATCGGTTGGATACATTACGTCAGGAAGTTTATTCTTGTGAAGGGTTATTGCCATTCCCCTGACTGAGCATGCCGCGTTGGTCTCAAGTGTTTGGACTCACGATAGACATCATGGGCATTGTCGTAGGTGTCGATGATTATATCAATGATACCATCGATAATACCATTTCTCATGGAGAAGGACAAACACATGAAGATAAGCTATGGCTTAAACAAGAGGGAGTGGGTGAATCTAAATTGAGTGTAAATGTAGTGAAGTGGGAATTATCTAGGGCATACCCACAATGCTTAGGTCAAGTGATAGCCCTTGTGCAGATACAGCACGTTCAGACAAAGACGAAATCTATTTCACAATTTCCCCATATATACTGAAACTTATGAGATGTCATGGTGTGTTTGGTTACTGCCCTGTCGACATTTCTTATTCATAGTAGCAACGCCCACTAATGTGCTGTGCTGAAGGGAGAAATTTCATTTGACAATAAATATCGGTGACGTGGCAGGACGATACATGAGGGTCAGAACATCCGGTGTGCTATCCAAGAATAGTTGTTACATATAATCCACAAACCCATTCCACATTAAAATTAATTCTTTGCTAGAGTGAGTGAGTTTAGTTTTACGCCGCACTTAGCAATATTCCAGCTATATGGCGGCGGTCTGTAAATAATCGAATCTGGACCAGACAATCCAGTGATCAACAGCATGAGCATCGATCTGCGCATTCGGGAACCGATTCTTTGCTAGAAGCCGAATGGATTGCACAATACATATGACTTTATCATATACATATGTGTTTCAAATCACTAGAAAATGTAATGCTACCAGGTGTTTGCGGGAAGGTCAGCGTATACTTAACCAAGTCCAAAGGCTGTAAATTGTTCACCTGATAAAAAACCACAAGAATGCATAATACAAGACAAAATAAGGAATTGCATCGGACATCATTGGTGCCGTTGATGCTTAAAAGTCTGAAATGTTTTCCACATGTCTAGCATAAAACTGGTTTGAAATCTTTACTGAGGCTTTGGCTGTTGTAACCATGATCGAAAAACTTCTGAGCAAGAGTCTGAAACAGATTAGTAAAATAAGCAGCAGCATTATTAATACTGAAGCTACAACTTTGTGGATGACAGCTTCTTGTTAATTGCATGGAACGGCATTTCGGTGTAGAATCTTACACGGTTATCGACCTAAAAGTGACTACACCCAAGTGATAACAAGAATGTAAATCTGGTATCTTATGACAAACAGCATTAACATTACCAAAAGTGAGTGAGTGAGTGAATAACACGTGACACATAGTTGGATGAGGCCATTTGGGACAAAGAACAACAAATAAGAAAATTATAGGTGGCGCTGTGCTAATGACAACATGTTAGCCACTCTCTCCACGAAAATCCAGTGCTTTATTTCAAAATGCCCAGCAATAAGAAAAATAACAGGGCGAGACAAGGTACGGGAACTCCTGTGAAAACGTCCAACACAATCGTTGAAGATGGGGTACAAACCAGAAACCGTCCTTACGCTGAGAAACAATCTACCATGCCGACCGCCATTGATATTGACGAGGACTGGTCAGACCAGGTGGACCTACAGGCGTGTATTCTGGAGGCCCTAAAGGATCAAACTTCACAAATTGTGAGTAGAATGGATTCTATGAATGGGGAAATAAAATAATTATATGGGGAAACTTCGGATATTCTTGATGCTGTTAGATTTAATGCTGAGCAAATCGAGTCGAACTCTGCCGAAATTGACAAATTGGAAAGGGATATGTCGGCTATGAAAACTGAATTTGAGACTAGATTTCTCATACAGAAGTTATACTCGAGAAAAAACAACCTACTCATCTACGGCATACCTGATGATAAAGATGCTGAAACAGCGGATCAGAAATATTCACGGACCTGGTAATACATAGGGCCGAAGAAATGATACTCGCCAATGTACACAGGCTACCCCGTAAAAATACAGATCAAAATAACTTTAGAGCATCCATGACATAGCCAGTAGTTGTCAAGTTTGTCAGGGCTGTGGACAGAGTGTGTTAAATGCTGTCAGTAAATCCTGGGGAATGTTGAAAGAGAGGAAAGTGAGCATACGTACAAAATGTACAGATCTGCCCGTCATCCTGAAAAAACAACGAGGACGACTAGCAAATAAAGCTTACGAACTCCGAATATCACATAAACTTCACACGCAAATAGTTGAGAACAGAACCGACATTTCCCTCCAACTTAGGAAGGATGCACAAGACACACAGAAGACGATTGGACTGGAGGAAACACCCTGATCGCCGAATATCCTGTTCATGGATGTGTAACACTGTGTGACATGATGCCCGACTCTAATGGTCTATTTACCTAGTTGTTTAATGAAAAACCACCAATAGATCACATAATCACATACTATCTGGACTTGATTATGATTTACTCGTGTGTGCATATATACTAGGCACATAAAGAAACTGTACATACAAAAAAATGAAATCTAAATTTATCAAACCTGTGTAGACACATACGGATTTAAACTCAGAGATTAGTGACATGTATCCAACATGCATGTACGTGCCACGTTCCGTGACGTCAGTGGGTTCGTCCTTGAGACGTGCAATACGTTGTTGCACGTGCATTCATGGAAAGAGAAACAGAGCAAATGAATGCCACACAATACTGTCACTTTGGAAAGCTCAACCCCTGCCCTTGCGATCGTTCAAAAAATTTAACGGCTATTGAAACGCATAGCATGCCAAGGCTCACGTTTGCACAACGTCATGAGGCCATTGGTATGGTCCGTGGGGGAATTTCTCAAAGACAAGTGGCTGCACATTTCCACTGCCATCGGAACACCATTTCTGCACTGGTGAGACGCTACCAGAACACAAATGACGTCATCGATCGGCCACGTTCTGGACGTCCACGTGTAACAACGCCAACACAGGACAGATGGATAAGGGTGACCCATCTTCGCCACAGGTTTCAGACTGCAGTGATGACTGCCCGAACCATCCCAGGACTTCGTCATATCCACCCCAACACAGTTCGACAACTTTTACGTTATCACGGGATCAGACCACGACGTCCCGCCATACGGCCAACCCTGACACAACGTCATCGACAAGCTCGCCGAATGTGGTGCCGAAATCATGTCCGCAGACCCTTGTTTTGGTGGAGAAATGTTGTTTTTACAGATGTGTCCAGGTTGAATATTTCCCATAGTGATGGATGTCAACATGCCTATGGACGCGTGGGAAAACGTTATGCACAGGCCTGTGTCTTGGAGAGGAATCGTTTTGGTGGTGGTTCCGTGATGATTTGGGTTGGAATAACAGCACGCCAAAGAACTCTTTTGGTGATTGTTCAGGGCAACTTAACTGGTGTGGGCTACAGGGATCAGATTCTTCGACCTGTGGCAATTCCTTTTCTGCAACGTCATGGCCTTCGGTTAACATTCCAACAGGACAATGCCCGCCCTCATACGGCAAGGGTTGCTATGGATTTCTTGCAACACCACAACGTTGACTTACTGCCTTGGCCTGCAAATTCACCGGATCTCTCCCCGATAGAGCATGTTTGGGACGAGATATATCGACGTCTACACCGTCTTCCTAATCTGCCAGATAACGTCCTTGACCTTGCAACAGAACTTGAGAGAATCTGGCGTGACATCCCACAAGACTTCCTTGCACGTTTGATAGGCTCTATGCGTCGTCGATGCACTGCTGTTCTCAATGCCGATGGTGGACATACCCGTTTTTGAGCTTGTGACATGGTCGTTTGACCCCAGTCCCGCTTGTGGACTCTTGACGTCATTGTGATTGACTTTTCAATTGAAATTCTCCCGACTTGTTATGGTCTCATGATCCCTCCGTTAAAGTTTATATGTACCTTTGACATTGTTATCGTACTTATCAACTGGGATAATATTTTGACACTGCACAGTTTCTTTATGTGGCTAGTATATATATAATGGGCGATTAAACGACGGAATGTGCTCTGTGAGTTAGTTTTGACAAGAAGGATTCTCCATTATATCGTGTTCAATGTTTATAAAAAAGTACATGTGGTGTTCTATTTATAGCTAGCGCATTCACTCCGGGACTAACTACCGGATGTTTTTATTCAGTCAGGTGTACTCAGGTGAGGTTCGTATTAGTATTATCACTTGCATTCCATGTATTTCTACTCTAGTTGTTGAATTGAACGTTTGAGATAAGTTTTTCTCACGCAAGCAAGAACTATATAAGAACATCGTTTGATGTATTTTGACTTCGAATAGGACAGGCTGTCATGATTGCACAGTTGTGGCTTATACATATCTCACTGGATATCGAACAGAAGGTGCACGGTTGGCTCGCTGTTTTGCCTTAGCAATCTTTTGGTTCTGTATATACATTCTTTTCATTTATTAAGAAAAAATGGTTCCCTACAAATCACTATAGTAACACGAGTATTTTATGATTTCTCACAGACACTGCAGAGGTACATATAAGCTGCATAACTGCGTAAATTACGCAAATGTTTATGAGAAAACACAATTCCTATTAAGTCTATTGCGTACAAGTACGCTTGGAGTTTGGTAAATACCCAATAAATGTGATCTTACATGTGTACAAACAAACATGTCAAATCTTAGCTTGCGTAACGGTGGATAAAATAAAATAACTGTGGTATACTGAGAGGTTCTATTTCAGGACATGAACTTGAAATCCTGCAGTCTTTCTTATCGTTTCTCATATTACAGATCAAATATAAATAACAAACACTAACATATAAACTTTTTTATATTTGTAAAATTAATGGAAAATGGAAAAATACCCAACTGAGTTTGTGTGAGGTGAGTACAATTTATTTGGTTACTCAAAGGAAAATTAGAATACCCAATTGAGATGAACACAAGCG